TGGGAGGATGAGTTAGCCTGGTGGTGGGTATTGAGGAGGGCACGTTCTGCATGGAGCACTGGGTGTTATGCACAAACAATGAATCATGGAACACTTTATCTAAAACTAATGATGTAATGTATGGGGATTAACATAAGAATAAAAAAAAAAAAGAGTGCCTTACAGAGAAAGACAGGGGATGGGAAGTGGTAACAGAGGTTGAGTGAAGCTCTAGATTTTTGATGCCAGTCTTTGAACAACAGCTGAGGCACTAAAAACCTTCCCCATGGTTTCTCAGTGTCTATTGACATTTGAGACCAGATAATGTGGGAGGCTGTCCTCGGGCATAACTAAATGTTTAGCAGCATCCTTGGTGTCTACCCACTAGATGCCAGTAGCACCCTAGTTGTGACAACCAAAAAATGTCCCCAGGCATTGCCAGATGTCCCCTGGGAGAAGGGACAAATCATTCCTGTGTGAGAGCTGGTGTGTCCTAAAAGGCAGAGGGAGCCATGGTACTTATTTGAGCAGGAGAATAACATAGCAAGACTAGCCAGCTGTCTCCCAGACCTAGGCTTCACTTCACTCACCTGAATGTTCCCTGAGAATGTTGTCTCCTCACTGGCGCCCTCTGGGAAAGAAAAGTAGCCATTGAGTGGAATGTGGGAGGTAACAGGCCTGGCCCACATCCCTTTCCAATCACTATTGAGTTGAGTCTTTCTCTGATGCTTCCCATCCTTGCCCAAGTTCCCTCCAAGAAGTCCAAAATGTCTTCTACAGTAGAAATTTAAAAGGGGATTAGGGTGGGGCCTCCAGTTCAATAATTAAGTCAATAGTATTTATTGCACACCTACTAAAAGCCAGGAACAATACTAAACCTTATGGAAGTAAATTGACAAAGAAACAAAGGGTCTTCCCTTGTGGAGTTTGCAGTCTGGTGGGAGAGTCACTAGGTAAATAATGACAAATAAATGATTAAGTGATTACAAGGGTCCCACCTGTTTTTAATATATAGGACAAGATACCTTGGGAGCACAAAGAGAAATCCTAGAATATGGAGGGTGCAGAGGAGGCTTCCTGAAGGAGTGGGTGTTAACTGGGTTAATAATACAGAAGTAGTAATAATACCTGCAGTTGTCTACACAACATGGCATATAAAGTGCCTTAATACACACTATTTCATGTAAAGAAAGACAGAAGGTTCTAGAACAGGGTTATGTAGCTTAATAGCTAATATTTATTGTGGCTAGCACTGCACTGAATATTTTACACACCTTAATAATCAAAATGGGTAGGTGAGGTATATTGGATTCCTAAGGCTGCTGTAACCAAGTGCCACAAACTGGGTGGCTTTAAAACAATAGAAATTTATTTTCTCATGGTTCTGGAGGCTAAAAGTCCAAAATCAAGGTTATTAGTAGGACCACACTCCCTCTGAAGGCTCTAAGGAAGATCCTTCTTTGTTTCACCTAGTTTCTGGTGGTTGCAAGCAATCTTTGGTGTCCCTTGGCTGGTGGCAGCAGAACCTCAGCCTCTGTGTCTGTCCTTGCATGTCCCTCTGTATGTGTGTGTGTCTCTATACCCAATTCCCCTCTTCTTATAAGGACACCAGTCATATTGGATTGAGGGCCCACCCTCATCTGGTATGACTGCCTCTTGATTTTATTAAATCTGCAAAGATTTTCTTTCCAAACAAGATCATATTCCCAGGTTCCAGATGTACGTGAACTTGGGGAGATTCTATTCTACCCAGTACATGAAGTAAGTAGGTTTCTGAAGTGACTCTCAGTGATCCTTGCCACCTGGAACCCTCCTCCCCCTGATCAGACCCAGTGACTCACTGCTAATGAACAGAACACAGCAAAAGTGATAGGATGTCACTGCTGAGACTGGGTTATAAAAGACTACAACTTCTATTTTGTTCACACTCTCTTTCTGGATATTCTCATGTGCTCACTACAACAAAGCAAGCTGGAGAGGCTGACATATCTAAGAACTGAGGGCAGCCTCTCACCAACCACCAGAAAGGAACTGAGGCCTTCAGTCCAGTAGCTTTGAAAGAACTGAATCCTTCCAGCAACCACATGAGTGAGCTTGGAGGCAGATCTGCCCCTAGATGAGCCTTCAGATGAGACTGCATCCCCACCCAACACTTTGACTGTAGCTGTGAGAAACCCTGGAGCAGAGAATGTAGGGAAATTACACGTAGATTCCTGGCCTACAGAGACTGTGAGACAATATTGTTGTTTTAAGCCACTACCATTGGGGTAATTTGTTATGCAGCAATACATAACTCATATGGTAGATGCTATTATTGTTCCCACTTACAGGTGAGGCGTATAGAAGTTAGGTCATTACCCACCCAAAAGTCAGCTGGTAAGTGGTAGGGCCAGAAGTTAAGTCCAAACTATTGAACTCAAAACATGGAATTATACTAGGAATGAGCAAATAAGTAAACATGCTGTGGTCATTGAGAACCAGGTTCTCAATGCCACAGAAGCAGCCACAAATAAGAAAAGAGGGAAGGCTAGAAAGAGCCCTCGTGTTGGATGGGAATCTGAGGTATCAGTGTGAACTCATAGGGTTTAGTATATAGACAGATAAATAGATGTAGAAATTGAATTTAAAGTGAGAGAGGGAGAAACAAGTAGGGAAGTCCAGCGGAAAATCTGAGATGTCATTTTGGAAGACCAGGAAAGAGACCCAGACAGGAGACATACTCTTGCAAGGCAGCCCCATAAGGACGGTGATTGGTGCTGGAGGCTTGAGTGGTACCTTCTGGGAAAAGATTACCAGAGACAATAGTAGGATGCAGGACCAGGGCCAGGACAGATCTCTGCTCTTTTACCCTGGCCTGAAATCAATGAAGGTCTCAAAGTTTCCCCCCACCACTCCTTCTTCATTGTCGAGAGTATTTGGAAATCCTTACCATAACATGCTTCATCATCTAATTTCATGAACCTAGCCAGCCAGTTCAAGACACGATTTGAGAAACAGCTGCAGTAGTAACTTCCAATTTTATTTCCACAGTATGATTCCTTCTTGCACTTTGCCAGCCCAACCTTACACTCATCAATATCTGCAAATCAAGAGAAAACATCATTTTTCATTCTCATCAAACTATACCATCTTCCCTTGCACAGGGAGTCTCGGGTACCCACCATCATTCATAAGCATCTGTTCTTGGATAAGATGACTCAATATCATAAAGGTGATAGTTCTCCTCCAGTGAATTTATAAATCCAACACAATCCTAGTGAAAAACATCTAGCTGGACTTTAAGGAGTAAGACAGTGGATACAAGCATGTAAGAATAGCCAGAAAAACTCTGCAGTGGGGACTCATCTTATTAGACACTGAAACACACTTTAAAGCCTCAATAAAATGAGTGCTGGCACATGAATTGACAAAGAGGCTAGTGAAATAGACTCAAAGTCCAGAAATAGACCCAAGTACATATGGAGCTTTAGAGTATGATGGTGGTATGTCAAACCACTGAAGGAAGGACAAGTGGTTCTTTCAATACTTGGATCACATGGTTTGTTTAATCAATTTAAAATACACAGCAAGTAGCAAGGAAAGAGATAGGACAGGTGCATATACCCTTAGGAAATGGTACAAGTGAGGCAAAAAGCTCCCACCATCTAAGTCCTGGCATGTGCAATATTCATGTGTTCTGCATCGATCTGCCACATCTCTCTGGTGGACCAGAGTTGAGGTTCAAGCAAAGGGACCCACAGACAGAAGTTACCCTGAGCCAATGACTCACACTTATTCTCTCTGTTGGAAGGACTCAGGACAAGTACATTTAACCAATAGTTGCAACTTGCCTACTAGTCTATGAGTTATATCGGGCTATGGGTGTGTGTTTTGGGTAGAGGGTTATATGGGCCAGAATGGTTATCATCAATGAGTGACTGAATTAAGACCTCATAAATCTTTTTTTTTTAAAGATTTATTTATTTATTTGAGAGAGCGAGAATGAGAGAGAGTACATGAGAGGGGGGAGGGTCAGAGGGAGAAGCAGGCTCCTCGCTGAGCAGGGAGCCCGATGCGGGACTCGATCCCGGGACTCCAGGATCATGACCTGAGCCGAAGGCAGTTGCTTAACCAACTGAGCCACCCAGGCGCCCCAAGACCTCATAAATCTTAAGTGCTTTGTATGTTTTGTTTATATTGTATATCTTGGGCATTAAATGCCTCTTATTTAATTTACCATGAGCATTTAGCACCTATGTGCCTTGTGTATATTTATCGCTTCATGAATATTACTGTTGGTCTCTCCATTCTATTCTATGTTTAACACACATATGCTCTACCCACCAACTACTTACCTATTTTAACACATCTTATGCATTTCATATATCCCATTGGATTTTCTTTTTTCTGCAGCAAAACCAAATAGTCTCAAACAGTATAACAAATGCACATTACATTTCTGCACCCTTCCCTTCTCTAGAACGGGGTTCCCCTTTATCCTGGTTCAGGATGGATTTTTTTTTTTAAAGATTTTATTTATTTATTTGACAGAGAGAGACACAGCGAGAGAGGGAACACAAGCAGGGGGAGTGGGAGAGGGAGAAGCAGGCTTCCCGAGGAGCAGGGAGCCCGATGCGGGGCTCAATCCCAGGACCCTGAGATCATGACCTGAGCCGAAGGCAGACGCTTAACCAACTGAGCCACCCAGGTGACCCAGGATGGATTTTTTAATAAGATAAAATGGGACCCAGATATCACACACTTCTTAAGAATAAACTCTACACTAATGAATCATTGAACACTACATCAAAAACCAATGATGTACTATGTGTTGGTTAATTGAACATAATAATAATTTAAAAAGAATAAACTCTACATATATTAGAGATCTAAATGTAAAAATGAAGCCATACAGGTACTAGAATTAAACAGAGGTGAATTCTTTGATCTCAGTGTAGGGAAAAACATTTTATTTTTATTTTTTATTTTTTAGAGAGCATGGGAGGGGAGGGGCCAATGGAGAGGGAGAGAGAATCCCAAGCTGGCTCCATGCCCCATCACAGAGCCCAGGGTGGGGCTTGAACCCATGACCCCGAGATCACAACCTGAGCCAAAATCAAAAGTCAGACCCTCTACCAATGAGCCACCAAGGTGCCCCAGGGAAAACATTTTAATGATGACTTAAGCACCTTGATAAATTTACCTACATAAAAAAATTTTTTAATTAGTTGCATGGTTAAAAATAAATATACAAGCAAAGTCTAAAGAAAACTGACAGAGAGAAAATATTCTCAATGTATACTACTAACAAGGGACCAAAATTTCTAACATATAAAGAAATCAAAAATTGGGAGGAAAAGAAACAAATACTCAATAAAAAAAAATAGGGAAAAGACATGAACAGACAATTCAGAAAGAAGATATAAAAATGATCCTCTAATATAAAATGTTCAAAATTGTTCATAATTAGGGATGCCTGGCTGGCTCAGTCAGAGGAACATGCAACTCTTGATCTCAGGGTCATGAGTTCAAGCCCCATGTTGGGTGAACAGATTACCGAAAAAAATTGTTCATAATTAGAGAAAATCATGAAAAATCTACTGATATACCATTTCTCACCTAGCAGACTGGCGATGCGTTCTGACAACATGTTCTGTCAGCAAGACTGTGGGGAGACAGGTGCTTTCATGCATTGCTGGTGAGAATGCCAATTGGTACAACTTTTCTGGAATTAAACTTGGGATAGCTAATCAAGCTACATATGGATTTACCTTTTAACTAAGGCACCTCACCTCCAGGACTGTAAAGACACATCTCCCACAAATACTGGAAAAAGCCTAAGGATTCAAGTAAAATGTCCCTATGCAGAAGAAGTTTGAATAAACTATGGTTCATCGACACAGGTACATAAAAGAATGGGGGAAGATCTCTACATGATTTGGAATAATTTCTAGGATATACTGTTAAGTGAAAAAAGCAAAGTGCAAAAGGGCATCTCTGGTGTCCTATCAAAGGTGTCTAAGTCAGAGAAGACCAGAAAAGACTGAGGATCCGTCACAGATTGCCAACTCAGGAGCATGGCAACTAAATGGGATCCTGAAATAATTCTTGAAGCAGAAAACAAAAAGGGGCATTGGAGAAAAAAACTGGTGGAACTGGAAAAAAAGTGTGTTGTTTGACATCCTTTTATCAATATTAATTCCCTAGTTTTCATCATTGTAGTATAGCCATGTTGTTGGTGAACCTTAGGGGAATTGGGTGAAGGGGTAATAGAGAATTTCCTAAACTCTTTTTAAAAAGTTTTAAAAACAGATACATCCAATGTTGTATGATTCCGCTTATAGGAGGTCCCTAAAGGAGTCAAATTAACAGAGACAGAGAGTAGATGGTGGGAGCCAGGGGCCAGGGGAGGGAGAATGGGGAGTTAATGTTTAGTGGGGACAGAGTTTCAGTTCTGCAAGATAAAAAAAGTCTTGGAGATGGATGGTGGGGATGGTTGCACAGCACTGTGAATGGACTTAATGCCAGTGAACTATACACTTAAAAATAGTTACGATGATAAATTTTGTTGTGTATATTTTACCACAATTGAAAAAAATAATTCAAGTAAATGAATAATCCAATATTGTCTGATTCCACTGACAGGAGGTCCTTAGAGGAATCATATCCACAGACACAGAGAGTAGATGGGGGGGAGCAAGAGGTGGGGCAGGGGGTGGGCAGGCAGTGCTTCATGGGGACAGAGTCTCAGTTTGGGGAAAGTTCTGGAGACAGATGGTGGGGATGACTGCAAAACAGTGTGAGTGTGCTTGATGCCACTGGGCTGTACACAAAAATGGTTAAATTGGTAAATTTTACATTATCTATATTTTGCCATGATAAAATAAAATAAATCCTAAGTAGTTTACCATGGTCCAGTTTGCCTTCTGAATTTACAAAACTCCACCAATTAGATATTCAGGAGTGTTTTTTCTTTTTGGCAGTCAAATGGACCTTCAGAATTTGTGGAAATGAGAAAGGATTTTGGCTGGAGCAGAAGGGAGTAGTGAAAAGGGAAACTGGAATCTGAGTTGGAATACTCAGATCATGGAAGATATTGAGTGACAAGATAGTAAGTTATTCAGTTGAGGCCAAATCATAGAAGATATTGAGTGTCAAGATCTGATGTGGGCCAGATCATGGAAGATATTGAGTGTCAAGATCTGAGTTGGGCCTGATCATGGAAGATGTTTGAGTGTCAAGATAGTGAGTTATTCATTTGTTCTCTTGGACAACACTTTTTTATTGGGCCTCTGTTATGTGACATATTCTCTGTCCTTGGATTATAGTAATGAACAAAACAGACATGGTCCCCTCTCTTGTGGGATTCTCAGACAGACAAACAAAAACTGATGCTTGAAACTCCAAGGGTCCTGGGAACTCTACCTTCCTCTAAAGAAAGACACTGTTGGTGGGAATGCAAGTTGGTACAGCCACTTTGGAAAACAGTATGGTGGTTCCTCAAAAAGTTAAAAATAGAACTACCCTATGACCCAGCAATTGAACTACTGGGTATTTACCCCAAAGATACAGATGTAGTGAAAAGAAGGGGCATGTGCACCCCAGTGTTCATAGCAGCAATGTCCGCAATAGCCAAGCTGTGGAAAGAGCCAAGATGTCCTTTCAACAGATGAATGGATAAAGAAGATGTGGTCCATACATACAATGGAATATTACTCAGTCATCAGAAAGGATGAATACCCAACTTTTACATCAACATGGATGGGACTGGAAGAGATTATGCTAAGTGAAATAAGTCAAGCAGAGAAAGTCAATTATCATATGGTTTCACTTATATGTGGAACATAGGGAGGACATTAGGAGAAGGAAGGGGAAAATGAAAGGGGGGGAATCAGAGGGGGAGACGAACCATGAGAGACTATGGACTCTGAGAAACAAACTGAGGGTGTTAGAGGGGAAGGGGGTGAGGGGATGCGTTAACCCAGTGATGGGTATTAAGGAGGGCACGTACTACATGGAACACTGGGTGTTATATGCAAACAATGAATCGTGGATCACCACATCAAAAACTAATGATATATTGTATGTTGACTAACATAACATAATAAATAAATAAATAAATAATAAAAAATAAAGAAAGAAGACATCAAACCAGCTTCAGAAAGAGCAAGGGGGACACAAGGGATAAGAACTCCTCTAAGGGCACTGAGACAGCTCTGACATGTTCTATCTTGTAGTATGACTGCATCTTTGCCTCACCAGCACCCCACACATGCCCCCACCCCGTTCCAGATTTCAGGATGTCATGGATTGAGTCTCTACCTTCACATTTCTCGTGGGGCTTGATGTACCTCCTCCCAGACGGAGACTGAAATCCATCTTTACAAGCACAGTGGGTGCTGTTGGAGCAGTTGGCATGTTCAGGGCATATGGGACAGAAAGCTGCAGGGAACACAGGATCCTTTCATTAATTCACTCATTCATTCAAGAAGGATTCCTTGAGCACTTATGATGTCCCAGATGCTGTAGTCAGAAGAATGTCCTTTTGGGAATAGCTCTGTTGTCCTCCACCGTGCACCCCTCCCACGGCTGAACACAGATGCTTGCGTGCCTGCCCCACCCACATCCATCCTCTACCATCAACACCACTTCCACTCAGCAGTAGAACTTCTAACTGTCAGCATCAGTGTGTCTTTCCCTGAGGGCTTTCTCTGGCCACCAGAGTCCTCTGTGCTTACCACATGGTGGGTTAGCAATGGAGCAGTTCCCTCAATCAATGACTGACATGAATCAATATGTTAAAAAAAAAAAGGCTTTTTTATCATCAGGGGAAAAAAAAAAGAAAACAAGTATTGGCAAGATGTGGAGGAACTGTAACCCTATGCACTGCTGGTAACGCATGTAAAATGGTGCAGCTGTTGTGGAAAACAGTTTGGCAAGTCTTAACAATTTTTTTATTAGAAATACCATATACCACTTTTAAGTATATAGCCCAAAGAATTGAAAGCAGTGTTTTGAAGAGATATATGCACACCCATGTTCATAACAGCATGATTCACAGTAGTCAAAAAGTGGAAACACCCCAAGTGTCCAGTGACAGATGAATAAACACAATGTGGTCCATCCATACAACGGAATATTAGCTTTAAGAAAGAAGGAAATTCCAACACCTGCTACCACATGGGTGAACTCTGAAGACGTTAGATATGTAAATAAAGCAGTCACAAAAGGACAACTACTGTTTGGTGCCACTTACAGGAGGCCGCTAGAGGAGTCCAAATTCCTAAAGACAGAAAGTCTTCAGGTGGATCCTGGGGCTAGTGGGAGGGGAAACGGGGATTTGCTGTTTCATGGGGGGAATGCCAGTCTGGCAGGAGGAGAAATGTTCTGGAGGTGAATGGTGGGGATGGGTATACAACAATGGGAATGTGCTTGATGCCACAGCTCTGTGCACTTAGAAATGATTACAATGGTGAATTTTATGTTGTGTATATTTTACCACATGTTTAAAAAGATAAATAAGAAGATAACAGCTTCCTCGCCCATGAAGGGGAATCATGCTGGGATGCTGGGGTACATGCTCCTTACTACGCTCCCCTCTCCCCTCATGTAATCTGCTTGACAATGGACCTTTATGTCTCCTCACCTTACCAGTAATTTCCCACTGCCAGATGGTACTTCCCAGGATCACCTCCCCGACAAATGACTTGCTCTCAGGTCCTTTTCTTAGGGTATGCTTCTGGGAGGGGGGAACCCAACCCAAGACATGGGGCAAAAATAAAAGTATCTCCTGCCATGACTTAGATACAGGCTCTGGGAAAGAAAGGGCAGAGTCTACCATCCACCAGCTGTGCAACCTTGAGCCCGCTACTTCCCTTGAGGGCTCTTGTTCAAGTGAGGATACTCTCCAGACCTTCTTTGCAGGAATGTCAGGACTGAATGGGATGCGTGTAGAATTTGCTTAGCATGGAGGCTGGTGCAAAGCAAGAGCTACATAAGTGGTGGTGATGATGGAGAAGGGGGAGAAGTTCTTGGGAGCTGCAAGAAAAAGGCAGAAGGCGGCAGAGATTTATGTTGTCTCCCTTGAAAAGGGCCCCTTCCCTCCCCTCGAGGCAGGTTGCTGATCCCAATTTCCTTTCCCTGGCATTTGGTAATGAGTAAACTCACCTCCAGAATTCTTGGCATCTGATCCTGACAGAGCCAGCAGGACACTGAGACCTGGCACAGAGAGAGGGGACAGTTCAGCTTGGCTGAAGCCCACAGGGATTAGGGGTTTCGTCTCCAACTGCCCGGGCTTACGTGTGCTAACTTCACTGCAGGTCCTTCCAGGCAGGCTACAAACACCAGTCACAGGGGACATCATATACTACTGAAGCATACCAGGGCCATCTGGTTGCAGCTGTAAGAGGGTCTGCACCCAATTTCAATGTTGGGGGCGTCAGGGAGGGGTGTTCCCCACACCAACAATCAGTGCTCTGACACCAGCTGGGTGTCCTACAATTCAACCGATTCCAACACCATCTACCCAGAGACTATCAGATCCCACAGGTTAAGGGCTTGCTCCCACAAGCCTACCCCCCTCCCCCTTTAGAAGCCATGGAAAGCCTAGTTTGTCACCACCTCCTTGAGTTGCATTAATTTGCTAGAGCAACTCAGGACTTCAGAGAAACATTTCTGTTACTAGATTGCTGGTTTATTAGGAAAAGGTATCACTTGGGAACACCTGAGGGAGGTGAGGTATGGGGCAAGGTACAGGGGTAGGGCGCAGAACCTCCATACCCTCTCTGGGTGGCCACTCTCCCCAGACCTCCAGCTTCACCAGCCCCAGGAGCCCAGCCTCTTCCGGCTTCAGGAGGCTACCTCACACAGCCAGGGTTGATTAGATCTTTGGCCCTTGGCCAGGGATTCACTCTCCAGCTCCTCTCCCCTCTTGTGAAATCAGGGGGTGGGGCTGAAAGGTCCAACCTTCAAATCACATGATTGGCTCCTCCCCCAGCCCCTCCCCTAGCGCCCCGCCCACCCCATGAGTTTCCCAGATCACCTCATTACCATAACAGAAGACACCTTTATCACTCTGCCCTTGGGGGAAATGGGGAAATGCCAAGGATTATAAGAGCTCTGTGCCCCCTGGGTGGCTCAGTGAGTTAAATGACTGCCTTTGGCTCAGGTCATAGTTCCCGGGGTCCTGGGATGGGGTTCTGGGATGGGGTCCTGCATCGGGATCCCTGCTCAGTGGGGAGTCTGCTTCTCCTTCTGCCCCTCACCCTGCTCATGCTCTCTCTCTCTAATAAATAAAATCTTAAAAAAAAGAGCTCTGTGCCTGAAATGGGGACAAAGCCCAAATATGTATTTCTTATTATAAATCACAATATCACAAGTTGTATGTCCCGATTTCTGAAAAACCTGTGGCTCAGAATCTAGTACCAAAAGGCCAAGTGCCAACCTCCTTTCCATATGCAGTGGTCCCTCTGGACCTGTCCAGACCTCTACCCTACACTGTCTGATGGCGACAAAGTGCAAGCCACATAGGTCCTTTTAAAATTCCTAGTAGCCACATTTTTTAAAGGCAAAGAAAAACAGGTGAAATTAATTTCATTGTATTTAACCTAATAGAGCCAAGATGGGATCATTTCAACCAGCATTCAATATATGACAAATTATTCATAAAGTATTTTACGATCCTTTCTCTGTGTAAGATAGTCTTTGAAACCAAGTATGCATTTTGCATGTGCAGCTGATCTCCACTCGGGCTGGCCTAGTTTCCAGTGCTCAGGACCCACATGCGACTGGTGGCTATGGTCCTGCACAGCACAGGTCTGACCACTAATAACTCATGTTTTCTCTGGAGTAAGAGGGAATCTGAATATCACAGACCCTAAGAATACCCGGAGTCCAAGACTGTGGCAAAATCGGAATGGATGAGCATGTTTGGGGCATGGTCCCTTTTGAGGATGATCTCAAAATGTCTCCCACATTTTTAGATGAAGCTTTATATTAAAGTTGGGGATGAAATCAGAAATGCAGAAAACTTTCCTACATATTTCCTAATACCACTTCCTCAAAGTACATAGGTGACAAATAACTAGGCACTTGAAAAATGGATTTTCTTTCATCTCTTTCACTGCAAGCAGGTTGTACTGGGATCCTTTGCTAAAATCTAGAGGTATCTAGGGGTGCCTAGGTGGCTCAGTCAGTTGAGCTTTGGGCTCTTGGTTTCTGCTCAGATCATGATTCCCTGGTTGTGAGATGCAGCCCCACTAGGGGCTCCCCACTCAGCATGGAGTAGGCTTCAGATTCTCTCTCCCTCTCCGTCCCTCTCTGCCCCTACCCGTCCCTCTCTGCCCCTACCCACCCCCTACGACTCACGCATGCTCCCCCTCTCTCTCTCAAATAAATAAAATCTTTAAAAAAAAATCTGGAGGCATCTACTTTCATAGCTAACACCAGCCCCCAAATGGCTTAAGTATGACAAGGAAAATCAAGGTAATTTGGATTTGTATCACAAATGGAAGGGGAATCACATGGAAGGAGAAGGAGTAAGAAATCTGCGTATGGCCCGTTTGGATTATCACAGAACAGGACAAGTCCCCTGGACAAGATAAGGTCAACACCTGCTCTTCCTACATCTTCTATAATATTTACTATCCTCTGTATTATGGGTACTGACAAAAACATCACCTTTAAGGATTTATGATATTGCGCTGAATCATATGACATGGCCATTTCTGTAAGTCAGAAAAATGCTCAAACATCAGTACTTTCCCTGTGAATGCTTTCTTCACCAAAAGAAATATTTGATTCCTATGGGGCAAGGGTCAGCAAACCATCAACTTCAGGCCAAATCCAGACCAGTGCTTGTTTTTATACGGCCCGTGAGCTAAGAATGGTTTTCACAGTTCTTACACGGCTAAAAACAAGAAGAAGATTTCATGGCACGTGAAAATAATGTGAAACTCAAATTTCTATGGCTATAAATCAGGTTTTATTGGAACACAGAGATGCCCATCAGTCCGAGGAACGCCTGGGGTTGCTGTTACATGGTAGTGCAGAGTTGGTGAGTTCAGAGAGAGACCAAATGCCCGTAGAACTGAGAACAGTAATTATCTGGCCGTTTATAGAAAAAGTTTGCCTTTCCCTGACATAGAGCATTGGACATCACATGCTTGCTAATAAGATCTCCTTAACAAACCTACCTTAAACTGTGTTTGAGTCCTCCTGTGGTGTTTTAGAATTACCTTGAAGAGCCAAAATCCCAGAGCAGAAGGGTGGGTAGATCCAGGTCATTGTAAGGTACTAAGCCACAGCACTCCAAACATGGACCCTCTTGATGGTGGTTGATCAGTGTAGCAGGCCCTTGAAGTGTCCCCTTTAGTCTTCCCCAGAGGGGATTCCTATGCATGTAAATAACTATCTTTCTGTAAGAGGGCATTTTCTGCAGCCTGTGGAGGGCAAGCCCCAAATATTTGGGAGTTATGCTGGAGTGGCTATCTAGCAGCAAGGGATGAGGACCGAGGGTAAATAGCTCAGCCTCCTTGCACTGCTAAGGCACACAAGGTATTCTCTCTTGGAGGTGCCCCAACAGGATTGAGTGCCACTTACCCACAGGGTAACTCCCCATTAACACACCCCCATCTGCGCTTGTGTCTTCCTGATCTGGCATTCTCCACTCCCTCCCTTGTGCCTCCTGGGATCCCTTCCCAAATAAACTACTTACATCCAAGTCTGTCTCAGTTCTGCTTGGGGAGAGCAACTAAGAGACTCAGTGTGAGAGTTTCTAATAGGACAGGTGCACACAGTCATTTCTGCACAAAGTGCCAAACTGGGGGGAGCAACCCAAACTAGGATGCAGGGGTCATGGGCAGAAGAGAGAATTCTTTGTTGTACTCACCTGAGAGCAGGGGCAGGCACCTGCTTCCCATAGCACTGAGATACCAGGAGCACCAATCTGAGAAGCGCTCTCAAGCAGGATGTGGCAAGGATGTCTGGAATGAAGAAGCCCCATGAAAGTCAATTTCGAATGGTCACAGACTTCAGAGGCCAGGTGGCCGATGCTTCTCAAAACCCTTTAATTTCTGCCCATCTTTTGACCCGACAATCCCACTTTCTGGGAAATTATCTCAAGGAAAAGATGATCGAAGGAGAGTAGATTATAGGAAACAAGCTTACAACCCAACAAATGTGGAACAAATATCCTGCTGGAATTTAAACTCCCAGTCTGTTGCAACCAGCAAGGTTTGGACTGTAAGAAATTCCACAGGACAAACTATCCAATTTCTTCACCCTCCTCAAAAAATTTAAGGGGTGAAAAACATAGGGGAGACCTAGATTTAAAAAGACTTAGAAATACATCAACCAACTGCAGTGTCTTACTGGATCCCAAATCAAACATAAGTTTCTTAAATGTTTGAAGCCTGGCAATATGACAACATTAAAGAATGGTTGTTCATTCTCGTGAATATGATAATTCAACCTCCAGTTCCTTATCTGTCAACTCCGATGGTTGCTCCAGAGGAGGCTGTAGGTATGATAAAGTGGCTATATACAGAGTCCTGATATTTTGGAGTTACACACTAAAATTTTGCAGGCAAATCATATGATATGTAGAAATTATGTCAAAATAATTGGAGTGAGGGAATGGTTTGGGGAGTAAGTGGGAATAAATTTGATACAAGTTTGGCAAGTGTTGATCATTGCTAAAACCGGGTGAAGGGTCTATGGGGTTGCAATGCCATTGTCACTGCATTCGTGTATGTTTGAGAAGTCCCATAATAAAAAAGGGGGGATTATCTTAAAGATATGTTGTTCATTAAGTAGATAGATAGATACCAAGGGGCAGAAGTATGTATGCTAGCATTTGGGTAAGATGGGGAGATAATAAGGAAGACTTCAGCACACTATACACAATTAGAAATGTGCATACATATATTTATAATATATTTATACAACAGGGAAACTGCAAAATGTGAGCTATTCTCTATACAGTTATGTGTGTGTGTACTTACACCTACACAAGGTCATACATAACTAACATATACACACATACAAATGTGTGTGCACAAACATATAAATGCATATTATGATTTTGCATTTGCATAAAATATTCCTGGAAACTGCCCAAGAAACTCCTAATACCTGTTGCCTTTGAAAACTGAGCCACTGGGAAGCAGGAGCAAGGAGACTTCATATTTCACCTTTTGATGCCATTTGAATTTTGAAGTAAGTGAAGGTATTTCATATTCAAAACCTAAGTCCCTTCTTGGAGAAACAATGGAAGTGCTGCACATCACCAAAAATGAGACTTTCAAAGACTTTAAGTTGTTAGTGTTTGCTCTGTGAATATCATTTTGAAATGTAAAAAGCACCATTCTCAGGTAATGCCATGAGCAATTAAGATTTAGGACAAAACCTCCAGTGCACATTAGCAAAGACTATATGCCCTGCAAATCTGTTAAACCATCAACTGTGCCAGTGAAGACAAAGGCACCAGTGGGGAAGATATAGCTAAAGAATTTGAAGAAAATATTTTCATAAAATGTAAGTGGGAGCATTTAAAGATAAGATGCTTTCTTACATAAAATGTAAGAAAGGGAGCATTTAAAGATGTGTAACACAAATAATTAGATATTATAAATAAAAATCATGCTGTAGGAGGCTACTAACATAACATGGAAGGTGGTTGTAATCCAGCATTAGGACAAAGGCAGGTAATAAGAGTAAAATATGTGATCTCACATTTAAAGGGGATTCTATAAATGTTAATAGAAGAGTGGCATTCTGAGTGATTTAAATTTCTTTTTATTTAACTAGCTCTACATTTTATACATTACTATAGCAATAAGAAAATAATAACAATAATGAAGAATTTTCACAGAAGAGGAAACAAAATGGCTGAAAAATGGATTCTCTTGGCAGGTCCTTCCCTTCTCCATGCTCCTGCTTTGATATGTAGATTCTGCTTTGATTTCTGAGTTTGGAATCTCTAGGGGTCTGCTTGTGGGGCAAGTCTCTCAACACTTCACCCACAGCTGTTGGCGATAGGCAGTGAGATGAGAACATAACTCAGTGCCCAGGAAAACCCGAGTTTGGATTGCAAATCGGCAGCTACTATTTCAATCACTCTGAGGTGGTGACTTTGTCTCTCTGGGCCTGTTTTCTCATCTGCAAAATGGTGCTAAGAAAGAGCATATACTTCCCAATAATGTTGTGTTGATGCAGTGAAGATGACCTCCCATAGCATGTGGGCACCTGCCTGGCATGTGACAAGTGCTGAATAAAGTTAACTGTTATGGGGACAGGATATGATGATGATGGTGGTGGTGGACATGATGGTGATGGTGAAGGTGGAAGTGATGGCAATGATGGTGATGACAGTAATGGTGAAAATAGTATAAATGGTAGTAGTGACAGTGCAGGGAGTGGTTTTGGTGATGACAGTGATAGTGGTGACGATGGTGAAAGTGATGATAACATCATGATGTTGATGATGGTAGTGCT